GGTCCCCACCCCCCAGACCTCAGGGACCCTGTGCAAGCCAGCTCTGCATCCCTATCCTAGGGGTTTGGAATATCAAAATCGTGAAAGACGTTTTAAGAAAAGATTTCACGTGGCAAGGAGCATTTTAGAGAAAAGAAATCAGTCCTCTGGCCCTCAGATGGAAATGCGACTTCTGGGGGTAGAGGCCAAGTCTCCAGCACCTGCGGCAGGTCCCGCACATGAGCGGGACGAAGCCAGGGGCTCTGCACAGGGCAGTCCGTGGCAGCTGCGTGGCGCATCAGAGACACTGGGAGGCGCAGCCGGGTGCGTGTTTAGGGACAGCGTTTAACAAGCTTGGCAATACCTCAGCTCGCGAGGCTGGAACGTGGAGCAAAACCGGGAACGTGCCGATTAGTTATAACACCGCAAGACGTGGCTCGAAGGGCTGCTTGGTGGCCGGGCTTGAGAAGGTCAACACTGCAATCCCACAGACACACACTGTCTTCTGGGCTAATTTTCATAAGAACAACCTTGCTCAAGGCTTACGGGACACTAGAAACATGAGAAACACCAGCTTGGGAAAGGTTAAGGTCACCCTGACACATCAGAGCAAACGCGTGAGGACTGGGCGAGGGGCGAGCTCAGCCCCGCCGCTCTAGGGACCGCAGCACTGTGTCCTGGCTGTGCCGGCTGAAGGCCCCAGGGGCACGAAGGGGCACGAAGCGGCAGGAAGGGGCAGGGGCAGAGCGGTCGGCAAGGCACTGGTCTCTGGTCGGGCGGCGCAGAGGCAAGGCTTTGTGAAACATGATTCGTGGGAGCCGTGCTCAGATTCACAGGAGCAGAAGGAGCCCGGGGCACCTCCTTGGACCTCCTCCAGCATCTGGGGCTCGGATGCCCGCGGGGATCGGAGCAGGGCAAGCTCTCTCCTGCAACTGGGCGCTTGAGTGGCCGCTTTCAGGGACAAAATCCTGATTTTCTAAAATGAGAGATAAGACTGATAGTACTTTACTCAGTACTAATAAATTTAAAAAAATGTAAAACACAATTGTGTGTGTGTCTACACTTGCGTGCATGTGCGCAAACACGTACACAAGACCTGTGTATAGACATTAAAGACCTGTATTCCAGGACATAAGAGCATGGAGTATGGAAAGTCAAGTCTTTCCAATCCTGGACCTCCCCCCGCCCCAGTCCTCCACATTAGCCACAGTTAAGGTTTACATGTACACCCTTCTAGAACATTAGAACCAGATGTCAGGAAGCTCTTGGTGTGTTAGAAGAAAAAGCCAGTCCCCTAAGAGCTCACCTGTCCTGAGCCCTGAGCCTGCCTGGGGGCTCTGGGGACTGCATTCCCTGGACCTAAGTCTCCCTACCTGGGACTCAGGGACATGACACACGACCCTGCACCCACCTGCCTCCAGGGCTGCCACTGAGCGACTAGCATGGCAAGGACACGGGAGAAATGCCCCTGCACCTCACTGGGCTACACGCGCACCAAGAGAGGTGGTACCATCAGGCTCCCAGGTCGTCAAAAGGGGGCAGGGCACCTGAGGCCTGGGATCTGCCCTGCTGCAGCCAGCCCTCTCTGTCTTCCCATGGGACACACGCTCTCCTGGAAATCCTCCGTCCCCATGATCCCCCCTGGTTTCTACTGCCACCAGCCCCTTCAGAACACCAGCTGGGAGTCAAGTCATTTCCCTGCATGCCCCTCCCTCCACACCCTTGGCAGAGTGCTGGGGTTGATAGAGAGCTGTCATCATGAATGGACACAGGGGCAGCAGGAGGGCTGGGATGGGTGCCTGGGAGCCTGGCAGGTCAGAGAAGCAGGTGGAAACCAGCGGGCCTGCAAGTCTGCGGGGCATGGGACTCCCTGCCTGAGAGGGGCCACACCTGCTCAGGATGCAGGCTGAAACCGGAGCACCTGCCGCTGCTTTCTTTCTTTTAATCTAAACTCACACATTTGGACAGGAACTCAGAGAAAAAGATCATCCACTTCTGGGTAATTAAACTGCACTCAGGCCACCTTGCAGGGCTGCTGGGCTGGAGTCTGTCCCTGCATTCAACCTTCATGATAATCCTCTCTGTGGATTTAACTGGGAAAGGGGGGGGGGCACGCAGCAGCGTCCTCCCACAGAGGACTCACTTCCAATGTGTACGGGAAGCTAGACCGCTTTCCAGGAAGTAAATTCTCCCCGGCACTCGTCACTGGGAGTTCAGAGATGGGGCAACATCAGAGCTGGAGTTGGGATGCACTCACATCCGGGGGTTCCAACAAAAGTACCCAAAAAACCCCGGGGATAGAAACCACTTTATGACCCCCAAAACAGCAAATCACCACATGACTACCCAATATGATACTATTCAGTTTTTCCTATCTTAACGAGTTATTTTCTGTCCAAAGAGATGCTTAAGCTCCTTGCTAAATCTGCAGTTAAATGACAGATGGACTGGTCGTTAATCTGCAGACAGCGGCAGCCCCTCCCCAACAGCAGGTGAACACAGGCACCCTTGCTGGTTTATCCTAACTCAGAATTTAGGGGAGTTTCCGAGCAGCCCTTAGGTGTCTCAGTCATTGCAGGATTCATTTATTTGTTTTTGGGAGGCAGACTTTCTTCGCTTGGGCAGGCTAGTTTCCTCTGTGGAAACCTTAGCATAGTGTATTACGTAAAGGTAAAAAGCTTGCAGAGCCCTGCTTGCGAAAAGCAAAATGTTTCTGTGGAGCGGAACTGGAACTTAGCAGTTATAAGCTCTACACCCTGGAGCGCACACTGTGGATAACTGAGCAGTAACCACAGCTCTGTCATGGACACATAAAACACACCACGATTATTCTGATGAGTATCTGACATGGCCTCTGAGACGCTGCAACAAGGTGTATGCAAAGTATCCCTCCCTTTCCAGGAGGCTAAAACAGTCCACCCACCTGTTCTTTTTTCTGAATGTGGTCCAGAAGCTGCCCGCCAACATCTAAAACCAGAATCTCCGCCTCACGCTGAAGAAGAGCCACAGAAGCTGCTCCAAACCCCCAATTTACGCTCCTATGCCCCTTGCCTGAGGGTGCAGGGGATTTCTGGCTCTGCTCAGACATCCGTCCCTTCTGCATGTTTATTCGCTCAGCAACTAGCTGAGTCTCTACAGCGGACCCCATTTGGACAACGAGCAGTTTGTGGCAGGACAGACCTGGCCCCTGTCCATCCCCAGTAATGGGGGAGGGGCTGTAAGCATGACAGGGATGCAGAGGCGGCTCTCCGGGGAGGAGGGGGCTTCCTCCTGCAGGTGATATGTCACCCAAGACCTGCGGAAGGAGCAGAGAGGCCAAGACAGAGAAGGCAAAGGCAGGAAGACACGGGGGAGGCGGGGCTTGGAAGCCACCTGGAAGAGTCAGGGTCCCAGGGTCACCCTCAGAGGGTTCAGAGCAGTGCGGGAAGAAAGGCCTGTGGACCACAGAAGTGATGGGGGTGGGGGCTGGTGGGGGCACCATTCAGGAGCCCAGAAGAAGCGGCTGTGCTCCTAACCCCTCCACAGCTGGGTACACCGGCGGGCAGGTGATGAGTTCAAGTCTGCAAGCAAAGGAACGCGGGGAGGGGGGTGTGTGTCGGCAACCCCAGGGGCGGGCAGATAGCGGTGTCTGTCTCCAGACACACACAGACACAGGGGACAAGGCCCAAGAGAGCTGACTGGTACAACCTTGCTTGTGCATGTCACTAGACGGGATGCCACCCTCCCCTCCCTCCCCTGTCCTCAATCTTGTGCCTATCCTTTCCCTCTCCCAGGAGGGTAACCAAGCCCACCTAGAGGATGCTTCAAGAAAAGCACACAATCCAGGACACCACCACCAAACTTCAAGAACTTTTCACTTTATTTCAGAAAAATACCTTTATGCATTAAAGAAGAATCTCAATGTCACCCCCAAAATGTTTGGCTACTCTTCATCAACCGCACAACTGTTAAAATCCTAAAGTTGTGCCTGCTTCTATTACAGTTTTGGAGTTAAAAGAAAGGCAGTGTTGTGAGCAACATCTCACAGAAATGCAAACATAATGCACAACCAGAGAGCAGGAATGTCAATGCTGAGGCCCAACACTGCCCGGGAATTAGTCCACCAGGTGCGGGAATGTTTCCCACCAGGACAGGGAATAACCCAACCATGTAGGTCAGGGAATGACCCCACCAGGTCAGGGAATATTCCCACCAGCTCAGGGAATTACCCCACCAGGCGTGGGAATGTTTCCCACCAGCTCAGGGAATAACCCAACCATGTAGGTCAGGGAATGGACCCTACCAAGTCAGGAATGACCCCAACAGGTGGGGAAATGACCCCACCAGGTGCGGTAATGTTTCCCACCAGGTCGGGGGAATGGATTCCCCGCCCCCCCTCCCCAGAAGCCCTGTAAGAAAAAGGACAAGTGTGGGGCCCCACAGCTTCCCGCAGGCGTCCATCCTTCAGCCAGGACCAGGGGACTCCACACATAACACGTGATGGAAACTGCACACCGTTGCCTCCCTCGCTGGAACCGGGGATGCATAAAATCGATTCCGTTACAGACGAACCCCCAAGGGAGCCTCCCCTGCACCCTCCCCAGAACACAACTTGCAAACGCAGAGGCGGAAATCCTGCCGAAGGAAAACCTTCACACGGCTCGCACCCCCGCCTCCGGCCTGGACTCAAATGACCAACGAGGTCCCACACATGGAGCTCATCAAGTGACCAAGTCACATCCAGGGGGAGCCGCGCCGGTCCCTCGAGGGGCCTGAACGCGGCGGGAACTGACGCGGGACCCGGGGACCGCTCGGCGCGGAACGCCAAGGGAAGCGGGTGTGGCGATCCGGGGATCCGGGAAAGGGGGTGTGGGGCCGGGAACCACGGTGAGGGCCCCGGGGATGGGGTGAGGGCAGCCGGCCGCAGGGCTGGGGTCGCAGGCCGCTGGAAGCGGCGGAGCGGCCGCGGGGCCGGGCCCGCGAGACCCCTCCCCAGCCGCACATCCCCGTCCCCGGCGGCCCGGCCTGGGGCGGGCACCCACCTGGGCCTTCCGCAGGGCGCTGAGGCGCAGCTCGTGTACGAAGGGGTTCCGCCCCGGGGGCGCCAGCCGCGGCGCGTCGCCGGCCCCCACGCTGGAGGCGGGGGCGGCCCGGGGACCGCGCGCCCGCAGCCTCATGGCCGCCGCCCGCCGCAGGGAGCGGGGCGCGGGGCGCAGAGCGGGTGCGGAGCTGGACGCGGAGCGAGCGCTGGGCGCG